TGTTGTTGTTGTTGTTGTTGTTGTTGTTGTTGTTGTTATTGTAATTGTATTGATGGTTGTCTTTCCATTGTTACGTCTTAGTTGTTGTTATTGATTTAGATACTGTTGTTGCTCCTGTTTTTGCTGTAGGTAATATTGTTATTGTTATTGCTGTTGTTTTTTGTTTTCGTTGTTTGTGTCGTTGTTGTTTTTCGTGCTGCCACTGTTGTTGTTGTTGTTGCTGTTGTTGTTGCTGTTGTTGTTGTTGTTGTTGTTGTTGTTGTTGTTATTTTTATTGTAACCGCTGCTCCTGCTGATTTATTTTTTTAATTTATTTTTTTTGTAATTGCTTTTGTTGGTGCAATGAGATAGTCATATTTTGCTATCCCCAAAAGGGAATTGAACTCGGGTCTTCTGAGTACGACAGCAGAGCGCCTAACCGCTACACTACAGACCATGGTCTCGCAAGAGACGAATGAAGTCCTTGTGGCAGCACGCTCATGAAAAAAACCCAATAAATTGGGGGAGAAATAAATGACGTTCATAAGACCCTTGGATACAGGCAATAGAAATCTTGCTCTCAAGAGAATAATCACATGCAATTGGAGCAAAAGAGGTAAAAGCAAGACCACAATAACGTTCATAAAGAACCCGATCGTGCTTTAGTAAACCTTTTAGCCCTTGCAACACAATAAGGTCACATAAGTGCCGTAGATTAGAGGTTTAATTTTAGTAAAAGTTTTACGACGCTTGCAACACAATAAGGTCATAAAGTGCCGAAGATTAGAGGTGTTACAAGAGAGTAACAAATACAAAAAGAGGAGGAGGGGAGCAGAAAAGGACGATAGATGTTTGATAGGAAAGAAGGAGCAAGCCACACCAGATCATCCGCCTTCCACCCAAGATCGTACACTTAATGAAAAAAAAAATAGTTGAGGGCAAAAGATAAAGAGATAAATCAAAAATAACTTACAAACAGAACTTGATCTGATGCGAGTCTGGGAAAGATCAGGAGGAAATAAGTTCTTTGTTGAAAGCATCTGAGCAGAGAAATGAGAGGCGAAGCGTGATCGCTGATGTCTGCTTCAGATCTAGCACTTTGATGTTTATGATATCTCAAATAGAAGACAGTAATCCATTAGATAAGTCTTTTTTACGTCTGCGCAAAGGCGTTCAAGTATTCGTTGTTGGTTTTTTTTTAACTTTCATTTTTTAAATTTTTTTTTGGTAATCGTTTCATGCGGGCACTTGCAGCACAATTACGCCATATAAGAACCGAAGATTAGAGGTGATGCAAGAGAGAAAAACGTCTCTAAAATAAAAAAGGAGCAGAAATAAGGGTCTTGAGCATCTAGCTCTCGCTGGAAAAATTGAGGGCAAGCGGGACAGGGGTAGACCCAGAACAACATACTTGGGGAACCTAGGCAGGTGGGTGGCAGGGAAAGATCAGGGGAAACGTAGCTTTTTGAGAGCATCCGAGCAAAGGAATGAATGGAAAACCATGATCGCCGATGTCTGTCGCAGATCTGGCACTGGATGATGAGGTGTTTGGCAGAAGAAAAGAAGGACCAAACCACATCAGGGCACACGCCAACTATTCGCATGTGTTTCATGTCCCCACCAACACGACGTAGATCATTTAGGAGGCGGGCTGCTTTTTCCATGCCTGTCAGAGCCAACCCAGGCTGGGAGGGAAACAATAAACGTCTCAGCAAGAAACGGAGATCCTGGAGGGGCCTTTTTAATTAAAAAAAAAAGAAAATAAATTTCAAAACTAAAACAAACTTTACCTACATC